GAGAGTTGTGGGGGCGGGCATAAGGTAGATGTTAAAGTCCTCCATGGAAGACAATGACTTTGACAGAATTGTGAGCCGAAATTAACGGTCATGGCATTCCAATCACAAAGGGGATTATGAACCTGAGGCCATGGCATACCTAGGATTATTGGGTTCTCACCCAGATTTGTTACATAGAGCAAAATGATCTCTGAGTGCTGGCATAGGTGCATTCTAAGAGTGAAATAATCGGTAACAGTCGCTTAGGTACTACCATCAGCTAGACGAACATAACGGGGCTTGATAAGCTTCTTGGTTGAGATACTGTTGGAAATATCGCGCAATGTAATGGGCGCAATATTCATGGAACGAAAGTAGAAGTTGACTAAAAGAGTGTCATGTTCGGATTACAGCTAAAAGTGTGGGAAGTGTGCGCTACAAATACAAGTGTAAAAAGCGTGGCGCACAAATCTGGAAGACAATTCCTTGGAATGGATGTGAGAGGGATCAGGAGAGTTTAACAAGATGATGCAAAGTATGGATACAGTCTTGGCGGGCGTGGAATTTTGAGTTTTGGCAAGGAGTTTTTACAAATTGAGCTTTGTGCGTGCCAAGACTTCGGCTGCGAGAGTGCAGGCGACACTATAAGCACCGCCATGGCTGGATGGTGCGGTGGTACATCGTCTTGGCCGGTCTGCCTAGTAGAGTCTGGATAGCTTGGACACATATCCCACTTGAGACAGTAGATCGCTGGTTCAAATCCAGCAAAACACTACCACTTTTCTCGCGGCGCTGGTATGCATGGATGACGAAGGCATGCTTGGATAATCAAAGGTTTTGAAATTTCCATTGGTGGGTACTAACGGAGGAGGGTCGACTGTTTGTGTAAGCGAACATACCTCATAGTGGTATTTGCAAATGAAATCCAGAGTATGAATGTCTCTAACGTCAGAAGAGTCATCCCACATGTATACATAGCACTGGTCATGTGTCATAGCTAGATAGCTGAATACATATTAAGTGATTAAAAAAAAAAAAGAAAAAAAAGTATAAGTGTAAGCGACACAGAGCCTAAGCCACAGCATAAACGAGTTTGGCGCCATCTAGGCATAGAAAACCCCCAATAACCCCCTTGCGCCCACGCCATACAGCCGCTCATATGTCCAATTGGTAGCCTGAAGCGCTACCATATTACCTGTTCCAACCTCTTATATACATACGAGATCGTGTCGGGAACCTAGACGAAATGAAGGGCCCGTACGTCCACAACACTCCGTGTCTCCATTTCCAACACTCCTCCTGACCCACAAGATCGACCAACTCAGGTGAAACCATAATATCCAGCAACCCAACTCAAGCAACATATGTGTGGCGAGAAAACATTACGTCCGGAGAGGAACACCTATAAACATGAGTGGCCTTAGAAGAAATCCCAACGAGGGGCGGCGAGGAGACTGGAAGAGGTCCCGAGAGGTGGATGAGAAAGGGACAGCTGGCTGTATAATTGTGCCTCGAACGGCATTGGCGGAAGAAAAATGGCGAAAAGTAAATAGGTCAAGTGGTTGAAATGCCAACTTGTTAGAGAATGTATCCGAAGGAAGATATTCGGTAAGTGATGTCGAGTGGTAAATGTTCCAACCCGACAGAAAAAAGAATGCTTCCATGTATAGTAAATTAAAGTCGGTATTGTGGCCGGCTTGAGTGGAAGTAGAAAGTAAAAGAAGGCGACCCGTAAATATTCCATCAAGCTTTATGTGCAAGAAATATCCCATCATCTAGAGTAGTCGAATTATTACTCTTCCTTTTCTATTCACTTCCTTCAACAGTCATTGACTGAGACTGAAGAATGGGTATCACGGCTCCTCCAAAATCAAAGTACCCCTCAACCAAAAAACTCTTCTGCTAAACCAGACAGAAGGTATAAATGGGCGAAAAGTTGGGAACGTATGGAGGGAGGATTGTGCCGGGAAAGTGTGAAAGACTTCGATAGGCCATAATCGACAAAGAAAGTAGACGTAATGGTTCTGCAGAATTGATCGATCGATGGACTGTTACATCGTATCGGAGGTGGGGCGGAATCGAAGGAATTGAATCCGAACGAGAAAATAGACGACTATACTCAGTTAGTTAGAGTCAGATTGGTCTCATAATCTGTTGGAATACCGGTATGGGTTCGATGACTAAGGCGGCTCAAAGAATATGGGCGCGATTTTATGAATAGAATAATAATGATATGAATCGGGAGAATATGTGATAAGCTGTGGAGAAATAAAAGATGGTTTGAATAAATTGAATTGATTTGATTATCTGTCTTAGTGATTCTTAGACAGCTTATATACATGTAATTTTGATAGACCAAATCCAGACTAGATACCATCCATCACTCATTCCATACTCTAACAATGACAATGAAACGCACGACAGTATACAATATAAGTATGGGGTCAGGGTTGGTGGATGAAAGCCTACACGTGTATCAGACCATACAATGCACTAGTCGAGTCTCAAGCATCAAACATGCTCAGTAAGGGAGATATCAATCATCTAGGTCGTGAGTCATGTGTGAGAATCTTAGTTGTTCCAATCATGGGAAACTTCAGACACATAGAGTCTGAATTTCCAACAGTTACAAACAAAGATGTTCGGATTATCATATTTTCCAAATAGTAAGTGCCAAATTATTATAATTACGATGTTAGATGGATAAGTATTGTGGGAGGATAGTATATATATAAAGAAGAATGTGGAATGAATATTTTCGTTGTGGGCAAATGTATTTAGACTATTTGAAGATAAAATGGATATCTAAAAATGAACGCATAATCTACTTAAGAAGAAAATGGACCTGATAATATACATGTACGATCTAATCTACAGCCATATCCATTGATTGTCCGATGTACTCATGTAATGCGTATTGACATTGTTTGTGTGACGGTCTTAAAGTGGCGTTTTATTCAAACTAAACTCAGAGCTAGATACAAACGAAAATCTTAAAGTAACAAGGAGAGACATGACTGAATGCCTACTATTTATTTACAAGACTATGATCTCGTTCCCTCATTTCATTCCATTCTCAAAATAGATCATGACCTGTCCTCCGACAAACACCAGCATCTCCGTCTATTTTAATTCAGCTTCATTTTAATGATAGCAATTTTAGTTATTAAAATAGTTATGATGCATGTGGCTTGGATGACTCACGACTGGTGTTCGAGTCGTCCTGTCTGCAATCTAAATTTGACATTTAAGAATAGATTTGCATGAACTGGGCCAAGGCCTATACTTGGGTCTAATAAGTTGTGGAGGGGTTCATGACATGTATGATGTTTAATATGGTTGGAAGAGTTCAAGCCTTATTTGTTAGGCAGCAGCCTAATGATAACCAGGTACGAGCCTGTGACAGAACCTAGACGAAATGGAGGACCCCTATGTCCATAACACTTGATGTTGTCATTTTCAACATATCTAAATCTCCCTTCTTTGTCACATTTGAGGCCGATTTGATCCAATGCACTGTCTCTATATCAGGTGCTGGGTTCGCTCGGGATACTCATCAGATGGCATTTCCTCCATGATCAAGGATTGGTGATGAGTAGGGCTCTAACCCCGACATCTGATCTAGTCATAGTCAGCTTCATAGTAATGGTGATAGGGGATGTGTTGAAAGATGAAGATAATATAGACCGCGGAAGCAATTGGGAATCCTCATTGAAGTGGGGACTTTATTACTTAATCTCAGCCCTGCAGACTCTACAATGAGAGCTGAAGGCTCGGAGCAGACACCACTAACAGGTGTCGAGAAGAGTCCCCTATTGATAAGAAAACAGATAAACTTATGAACTTTCAAGAGTCACCTATTAAAATCCGCCAACACCTTAGCAGGGCCTACAGCAGCATTCCTATCCAAAAAAGAAGCGAGCACATTGGGCTCAATGCTTACTTGTATTGAATGAATTTACCAAGAGTAGGGAAACCACGATATTTATGTGGATTTCTGTCCCAAAAGAAGCAAAGGCAAGAGGCGAGTTGCTAAGTAATTGACACCCTAATCCTTCCGAAATGATTTAAATAGCATCAAAGAAAAGGATAGAATTGCACCGTGGATTTAGGAGGAAGGATGGCTAGAGCTGTTTCGGATGACTGTAGAAATCAGACGTTAATTAGGCAAATATGGTAAGACAGGACAAGGACGGAATATACACTGGAAACAAGAGTATGGTTGCACTTCCTGAATATAAGACTACAATGGCACAGAGACCAATCAGATAGCCAAGGTGGGTTTTTGTGGCAAAATTTCCTCCCATCAAAACTACATCATTTAATGAACAACTGCACGGACCAATAGAGCACTCTATTGGGATAATTAAATCAATTTAAAAACAAATAACTATCAAATATTTATAAGGGAATTACTGCAGACTCAATTTGATTGGATAACATGTCGACAATAATTATCAAGATATAGTTCTATTAATAAGCTTGCAGGAAATCATTTGTGTTGGATTTACTACAGAATGGTTTCACAATTGATTGTGATGGTTCAGTAGAGAGTTGTACAATCCTATGTTGTTCTAGAATGTTCATAATTTCTTGCCTCTCACACTATAAAGTATTCCCAAATATACTGTGGATCCAGTCTAGAATATCCATGCTGAGGTCATAAAACAATGCCCACATGATGACACATCTCATTTTACATTTTGGATGAACCAAAAAATTGTATAAATGTCAGTTTGTTATTATTAGGTAAACCACATGAATGGAGAACTTTAATAAACCATGTTCTGTGATTTTAGACTTTCATTTTAAAAGAGAAATATATTAGTGAAATATCCCTCACTACTGAAAGAACATTATCATATTATTTGATATCCCAATTTCTCCTTATAAAACTAGGCCCATGAGACCACCATCTTCACCTTTCTTCAAAACATTCTTTTTTACTTCAGGAATCCAGTCCACTGTAATTTGAAAAAAGTTGCCAAGTTTAAACACCTAAAACAAAAGCATTTGAAGAAATGAAGTGCAGCACACTTGCATCAGTTACATCAATTTTGAGCATTATTGGGCCTGCACTTGCTTTGGATGGTTATACTTGTCTTGGTCAAAATGTTAAACACAGTTTGCTCATGGATTGTGTTAACACACATTACCACACCTTCTTGCAACAATTTCCCACACACGAATTTTTTAGGTCTGATGATATAGTTGTTCCTTTTGATGTTACCTTACCTTTTGCTGGACAGAACGGTGGGTAGCTCTCATCTCCAAAAATCATTCACAGCTAATATTATGAAACCCCACCAGATCCATATTCAAGGATAAGAATTTCATTCAGAAGAACAAAAAAAATTATCAAAGTGGAAGCAATTGTATCTGGTCAGATCCATGAGTGCCAACCCGTTGCTAACTGGTCGTAATTGGAAAAGATTGATTAACCAACAATGAAAGAAAATTTATACATCAAGAATAATGCCTCGAACAGCTGAAATTCTGTTGAGACAGTGGAAATAAGACAAGGTACTGAGCAAGAAAGTAAGGAAAAGAGTAAAAGAGCAACTTTTGTTTAGAAAATATAGATTATATTAAGGAAATAATGACCCCTCAGTCATTGAGATTGTAGAGCGCATAGATTCAAGTAATTACAGTCTCCTAAGGATGCCAGTTGTAAAATTGTCAAAATGACTGGTGTTTTTTTTTTTTGCATCAGATTTTAATTGCGTATGCAGCTATCTAGCTATGACACAATATCAAAGAAAAGTACAGAATTGATGATTCATCGTTAAGGAAGAGCACTCATGCCTCAGATTTCATTTGCAAGTACCACTGCGAAGTTATGGTGGCTTTTTCTTCACCCCAAGTCAACCCTCATCCGTGAATACCCACCCAGGGGAACGTCTCAAAAACCCTGAGTTATCCAGACATGCCTCCATCATCTTTCAACTTTTCTCCGCGCGAAATATGGTCTGAGATATCTCCTTCCCAAGTCGAGTAGGTGCCCAGGCTACTCAAACTATACCAGAGAACATCACCAGGTGGCGGATCACAACACTTTCCATCGTCGGCTTGTTTTTATAGTGTCAGCTGCACTCTCGCAAGCGAAGTCTTGGCGCGCACAAAGCCCAATTCGTAAAACTCTTGCCAAAATTCAAAATCACACGCCCGTCGAGATTATATCCTTCCGTTGCATCAGCCTGTGAACTTATCCTGATCCTTCTCACGTCCATCCCAAAGTACTGTCTCACAGATTAGTGCGCAACGCTTTGTTTCCTTCGTCGGGTGTAAATATTGGAGTAGGCGTGTATTTGGTGGTCAACTGAGGCCAGAGAATAGTCGACGAGAGGTATGATCATTGGGATGAGGATGTACTAGGTCGTACTTGTAGACTTGATGAGACTTAGGTAGGAGTCAAACTCGATAAGAGCGAAAAAACGACGTGGTGGAGTAATTTGAGTCATTGCCTCGTGGGCCAACTTGTTTGATATTGCGAAATTTGACTGAACTTGGCTCTGGGAGAATATTTCACTCCCAGGTTCGTAGAGGACACCGCGTACAGGTGTTCAGTCTTGCCCTCCAGCCATAGACTAAGACAGCACAATAAACTCGATTAATAATAAGCTCACTCTTGGCGCTTATCATAGGACATGTTTGAAGTTATGTTATTTGCATGATTTTGTCTTTTTGTGATTAGGGGAGTAAGGTGACTGCATTATAATAAACTGTTCACATTAGAATAATGTCCACATGCGCCATGAGATATGATTGACTGTGACGGGAACCCCGGGTTGGTGATGATAATGTCGATTTAATAAACTGTATAAAGAAGAAAGAGAAATCTAGCTACAACTAATGGGTATTTATAATTTTCAGCCCCTCAGTGATTGTCTTGGCTGATTTCTTCACCCAAGGCCGAATACTTGCCACCCAGCCACATATTATCAAGAATCACTACGCTGTGACACTGATCTGGCCCCTTGGCTGGTAGTACCGTATCTTCCAGTTTCCTCTATCATTTCCTTACAGTCTTACAACATGAATCTTCAACAATACGCTTAGGTATCCACATAAGCTCAGACAGCGGCCAAACCGTGACATTGACCTAGATCATCACTCATTGGTTTGACATAGTATTTCCCAATAGATTCCTGATAGTATATATTAGCGCAAGGATCTCTCACCTCCTTCCTTGTGTGTGTGTTTGTGTTTATTGTGCTACTTGAGTCTATGACTATCTAGCACATTGGGCTCCTTTCTGACCCAGGCCACACCTTGTACAGTGCTCCTATCCTCTTTTGTTACTTGAAAGATCATTGATATATTCCCCTTGATGAATAGCCATTCAGCTCAGTATTTACCCGTGGAATTCGGCCACCTTTTGCACAGAACCTTCTACCCAAAAAAAATAAAAATGGTAGCAATGGAAACTGCGTGCGCGGGAAAAAGTCTCATAAAACCTGCAGCCTCAGCCAGGCGAGGCCTAGACACCGGGACCACATGAGGTGCGCATATTCATCTATATCTCCCTTCTTTGTAACAGTCGAGGCCGACTTGATCCAATCCACCATCTCCGTATCGGGTGCTGGGTACGCTCCGGAAACTCATCGGACGGCTTCTCCTTGTCAAACTCGAGGGTACCAGGGGTTGTGTTTTATGGATAACTTAGAAGTGCGAGTGATATCTGACAAGATTTGTCATAGACTAAGGTATTAATTCGGGATTCTAGCTATAACTGAGGACAAGGGACAAGAGAAACTAGGACAAGAGACAAGGTCAATGGAAGACGGAAAACAAGATGTGGTCCTCTACAACGGCTCTACCCAACCCATATATACATCATAGTAACCAGAGCAACTAAGGCTTCAAGGGGTGCGCCTGCTGCTAGTCTATTACTTCATTTGTAACCCATAGCAACCATTGTAACTCGGTAAACGCTCGAAGATGAGAGAATATTCAGATGTAGTGCAGGGAAAGAATATTTGGGTGCTGCTCTATCCTCAGTTCCTGACACTCCTCCATGATCAAGGTTTAGTGATGAGTAGAGCTCCGACCCTACCATCTGATCTGATCGTGGTTAGCTTCATGATAATGGTGATAGGGGAATGTGTTGAGAGATGAAGACGATACAGACCGCGAAAGCGATTGGGAATCCTCTTCGAAGTGAGGACTTTGTTACTCAATCTCGGCTCTGCAGACTCTACAGTGAGAGCTGGAGGTTCGTAGGGGACACCACTGACAGGTGTTGAGAATAGTCCCCTTCACCTCCTTCCTTTCTTGGCTAGACAAGGACATATGTTGGAACATCTACTAGTTTGCAGAACCCCCTTATTCATACATATAGAGGAAAGTCCTCTCACGTAGATAAGACAAGCAATTCATGCGATAGGAAATTCAAACTATCTCCACATTATTCACAAACTTGAGAAAACTAGGGAATTTCCTCAAGTTCGTCCATTGATCCAACTCCTAAAAGTTTAACTCACCAATTTCACTTCTCTTAACTGCCATAGCTAGCTCCTTCCATAACTTCATCCTAACGGTACGTCATTCCAGTTCAGCATAGCCTATCAATATCTCCCACTACAATTTACGACGCTACGTGTACCCCCAAAATAGAAATTAAGTCATAAATTACAAAGCTTAGATCACGGTGAAGAGGAACTGTTGCAGTAATGGGGTTATGTTTATTGAGGAAGGACAGGTGGCTGAGATGTGGAGCGAGAGGGAGATGAAGTCTCTGTATACCATGCATGGACTGACATGTTCGAGGGTGTTGCAACTTTGAAACGTTGTGGGCGCCAAGGCCGAGATTTCGGCTAATTAGCCAGGAGTATTGAAATGTATAAGCCACTACTTAGTTCGTGGACTTCTTAGTAGAGGGAAGCTTATGCAATAATGAAGGATAAAAGGATGTCAATTCGACTACTCTTCTAAGCACAGGTACTAGACTCCTTTCAATCCCAATAGATAGCTTAAGCAGGATATCCTGTTAACAGCGGTAAACAACGCTATCACAGGGTATACGCACTCTCCCTTCGCCAAACACCAGTCAGTCGAGACTACTTAATATCGGGCCTAGTAGGATCGACAAAGTGTATTCTAACACAGAAATAATAGAAAACTCAAGAAACCCTTCATCACTAACTGCCATGAACCATCTCCTGACTTATCTCTGTACTCCATATTTTCAACAAGGAGGGCTTCTTTTGTCGATGAGTCAACGACACTCCCTAGCGTCCTGGACGGTGCAAAAGAAAGTGGGCTAAGCTACCATGTAGCAATCACGCTCTGTCAAGACTTTTCTGACATTTCAGCACGACCTTCGGGAAGAAGTTGGAAGGAGGCTAGAAAGGCAGAGAGTGGATTTCCCGAGGTACACACGTCTGCAGCGCCTAGCTGGCCGGCCTCTTCAAACGCTTCAGAAGGATCACTAAGTCTTCGGATTTAGTCCTAATGTCGAAATTAGTAGAGCCCCGCACCCAGTGGTTTTTGCGATTTTTCCCAGCTGCCATACACCCGCAAATGGCCATCGTTTCGTTGGCTGAAGAGGGGAGATAATGAGGGGCCAAGGGTTCCTCTAAGTGTATGATCGAATGAGGACTTGTGATGGGTGGTACTGTTTGAGGGGAGCTGTATGGGAGGCATAGGAGGGGATATACTACTAGTATAGGTATCCTTGGCCTGTAGGCAGAGAGGACCTGCATGTCTTACATAGCCATAGACTCAGACAGGACAATAAAATGAATTGATAGTAATAGTTATGTGCCATCGTAGTATTAATAAAAGCATCATTGTTGTGGAAAACACAAGACTCTCCACCCTTATGTGGCCTCATTGATACATTTAGATCGCCATACATCCCTATTTGTAACGGCTAGTGAGCCGATAATTGTCCTGTATCACGTGATGTTGATCACGTGCCTCAACAATTCTGTGAAAGGGCGAAACTTTACTCTAGTTTATTCTGAACATGACTAGAGGATTCTAGCAACTGGCGTTGAGACTGTGAACTGGTATCAGGGAAACATAACAGAGGCTAGTATCAGACAGGAAGGAATATTCTAGATAGCCTAATAAGTGTATAAATAGTTGAGTTAGGACACACATATTGTGGTATAGAAAATAATAAACAACCTTCGTATATTTGATCGCCCCAGCATCTATACCTCGAACTGTGACATTATTTTCTATCTTCAGACATCCAGAACCGCAGTTATTTTCAGATACTCAGAACCGCAGTTATTTTCAGATACTCAGAACCGCAGTTATTTTCAGATAATCAGATCCGCAGTCAGTTTCAGATACTCAGAACCGCAGTTATTTTCAGATAATCAGATCCGCAGTCAGTTTCAGATATTCAGAACCGCAGGAATTTGTTCACAATGGCATCCGGGGGAAATTTGCAAGTGGTGCCATTAGAAGA